AAGTTTGACGCGTATGGGACACCTCCTTCGGCAATGCGGAAATTGCTGGGATTGCGAGTTGACTCTACCCCTTCGTACTGAGACACGATCTACTTTGGTTTTGCGAGATGAAGTTGAACGATCTTTTATTTTCTGTGACGTGTGATTTGTTATTTCGTCATCTCAACCATCTTCGGCCGTTGAAATATTTTTGCTTTGCCCTTTTAGCGGTTACGGATAAACCTATAAACGCGCCAACATTTTCTCCATTGTTTGTTGCACCTGAGGACGCTTTGGTTGCGAATGTTGTTTTGGTTTTTTCGGTGGCCGTCGTCTGCAATTTCATGTCTTGGATCAAGGAACGTGAAAGTTTCTTCAACTTCTCTATCTCCGTCTTAAGGCCATTTATATCCTCTGCACACCCGAAAATGTTTCGAGAAGTTTCATGCATGGCATGCAAACTTCGTCTTCATAATTGACGTCTACTAAACTTGGAAGGCCTGTATCTCTTTTAGTGGGAGGCTATTCCGTAGCACCAAATCGGGGAATAAAATCCTCGGTATTGCGACTAGGGCTTGTATTCTCAATTAAATCAGAGAACGATGCTTATGGTGATAGTCTAATTGTCCCACGCAACTCCCGCGATACATGGCATGTGGTTTCGCTTCTCTCTTATGGCGAACATTTTGCATGAGGCCCTACATATTTATTTTCGAGTCCCAAACTAGATTAGAGTAACATTAACCGCTATTAAAGTTATATGCCGAAATATAAGGCAGACTAACTGTATGAAGAGAATATCTAAACGACTCAGCCGTTCGTAGATAACTGGAATCCCGGAGAACTGTTAACAAAGGGTGGTCACGGAGTATCGGTCGTTTTGACTATTGTCCTGCTGTAGACTGCTGAGGCTGGAGATCTTGTGAAAGCGGATCCAAAAGCTTACAACGAACTACCGTCGGAGTGCTAACTAGACCGAAATCTCGAAAATAGTATTTCCCACAGAGGACGAGAAACTTAAACCGCAATTTGAAGCGCCCTCTTTCTGTGTCGAGCTCCACGTCGCAGATGGAGTTCTCACCTTCTAAGTGCCGATACATATGCTTTGGTGTCGAAAGGCTGCCACAGCCTTTTATTTTTCAAGGTTGTTCAATGACTGAATTTTCCAACTTGAAGGACCTAGGTTTAGGCTACACCAATATATTAGATCATTCGTCTCACGCCGATAGAATTACAGCCAAACTTGCGCAGATTTACGGCTTCATTTCTTAAAATGTCTACCTTCCTGAGCCTAAATTAAGACTTTGTTCTTTGTTTGTGCTTCCCTTTCTAGAATACTGTTGCCCATTCTTCGGTCTAATGAACGAATCGAGCCGTTCAAAATTGAAAATGCCCCAAAACATTTCACAGGAAAAATCCTATATCTGACATTTTCAAATACTTTCCACTCATGTAGATGCCAGATAAAGAAACTGAAGTTTATTTAGGTCAAGGGACTGAAAGCAACTTCTGTCTCCTTTTTTGTTTTAATAATGGTTCAAATCTCCCGAAGATTTCTGTCATTATCCCCGTCAGCCTTCCCTACAACCTAAGAAATTCCGCACTGATTATAACTCCTCCACATTTAAACGCTCTCTGTTCTTTGCTTCCATGTATAGCTTTCTTTGTGATAACCTGCCAATAGAAATTAGGCCGTTAACCTGTGTATGTGCTTTCAAGCGGAGATTGCACATTTATCTTCACACTGATTCTATTAACCTTTTAGGAGATCTTTTTGAAAATATTATACTCTACCTCGTGTCCCCAGGTACCACAATGTGTCCATAAACCACCAGTCATTCAAACGATGGAATTCATATGGACGTACCCAGTCTAAACGGTTCACGTTTAATTGGCTACTAACCATCACAAGAATTCCATTATGGCTCCTGAGATGTCTAGGCCCCACGTCAACTGACGCTTTTTCGCTACATTTTATGTCATGCGCATTAGCGACCACGAGCGAACTATCCAATTCTGAGCGGCTACTGTAGTATTAATTTACTCTACCCCTCCAGCTTATTTTCCTAAGCAGATTTTTCGCTTACACCCTTTGTGAAACTGGAGACCCGTTAAACTATGTGTTTATTTTCAGCGTAGGATTTCTTTTCACTGAATGTTTTTAGTTCATTACTTATTTCAAAACATCGCTAACTATTGCCCAAAAGGAAACTTCGGCTAACAATGTTACATATTTGTAAATTTTATCTGCGCACCTTGTCATACCTTTACTCCAAAGCTAAGTTTGTTTAGATAGTGGCTTCCTGGCG